GGGGGGGGGGGGGGGGGGGGTAGAGACACCTGGAATTAACCAGATAAATGCCACTATAATAAAGCCAAGCTGACTACAGCCCCAGCTCTCACTAAATGTCTAGTAGCCACATCACTAAAGGCGATGGGGGCTATATATATCTTATCTATCTATCTATCTATCTATCTATCTATATCAAGGGAATTGTATGGTGGTGTCCTTATATAAAATGTGTGTTGATGACTAAACATTTTGAAGCGTATGGTATGGATTTGTTTGTGAATTGTATAAATTCTTTATTTTACATAATTTTAATATGGAATGCACCTGTGACAAAGATGTCAAAAAGAGTTTTATTGGCTTTGTAAAGAGAATGCCAAGTGTTAGGTTTTTGCTTTTAGACTCTGCCTAAAGCTGGCCATACACCTATAGATTATCTGCAGACTTTCTCTGGTCAGATGGAAAAGGTGCAACAGATTCCTCCATCTACGCTAAACTGTGTGTATGGAGGAATCTCCCTCTGGGCCAAGCTTCAGTATGTTGGTAGTCGGCCCTGCTGGCTCTCAAAACACCTGAACAATGCCGGCATCCAATCAGATTGTTCCGGTATTATGAGAGCCAGCGGGGCCGACTAGCAAGATACTGAAGCTTGGCCCAGCGGTCTTTATTACAGGAGGGGGTGGAGACAAGACCAGTCACAAGACCAGTCACCCTGCACAAGGAAATAGAGCAGCAGTGAGCGGTCTTTATTACAAGAGGTCTCACACTGGATTACCGCACAGATCTGGAAGAAATACACAAAACTCCCCAAGATTCAAGAAGAATACACATGACTCTTGTATGAGGACAACATTCTCTTATCCCGGAGTTCGGCTTTAAGTGGCCCTGTGTGTGTGGCTGAACATGGCTGGCCCTGGTTAAGTGAAGACATCCCGATCCATCCACTCCTACTTTTACAGCGCTATCTGGACGGCTCGGCCCCCGCCTCCATCTCTCTCATTTATTATCCAGTAATTGCAGCCAGTGTCGCCTGTGTGTGGAAACTCCATTAGATTCTACATTCCGGGAACATGTCGTGTTGGGAGGGTCTGCGGCATTGCAGATCTCATCTTTTTCTGCTATCCGGACTGTGACACTGCACATGAACATTTCTGCGATATGCACACAAAATGACGTGCCCAACTCTACCATTGCCTCACCCTGCGCCCTACTTTACAGAGCAAGGAAGGGAATTTATCAAAACTGGAGCAGACAAAATCTGCAGCAGTTGTTCATGGCGACCAATCAGCTGTGTGTATCTCAAACAGTCATTTTTACATAAAATACTTTTTGACAGTTTTTTTTATCCTTTGTTGCATCTCATTGCTGCCGATCTCTTGCAGCCTCTCTGCTGCCACTTCCTGTCTACATGCCCCCCCCCATCAATGGCTGCATGGAATTTCTCCAGGTGGGTTTCCTCATGGTGATAATACTGGACCATGGTTGTGTGATGTGTTGAAAAGGCTGCTTGTAGTCTCCATTGGGAAAGAACGTGGGGGAGTGACAATGCAAAAACAATTAGGAGACAGGCACAGGGGCGTTGTCACCCTATGACAGGAAGTTTCACCCTCCAACAGGAAGTGAAGGATCTTTATGGCAGGAGCACCAGGTATTATTGCAATGAAAGCTTCAGACTGAACAATGACTTTTGAAATGACAATAACGTGGTAAGGCTCATTTGAGATTTTAGTAAATCGGGTTTACATCTACTTGTAGTTTGTTGCGTTATATTCTAGAGCGGTCTCCCTTTGTCTGCAGGAGGATTCACTGATCGCAATTATGACTGGAGCTCGGAAGAGGAAGAGTATGAGAAGAAGGCGCACCCAGTGCAGGTCCTGGTAGTAAAGGACGACCATTCCTTTGAGTTGGATGAAGTGGCTTTGAACCGCATCTTGCTTTCGGAGGTTGTGAGGGACAAGGAGGTCGTGGCGGTGTCTGTAGCTGGAGCATTCAGGAAAGGAAAGTCATTCCTCATGGACTTCATGCTGCGCTATATGTACAAAACCGTACGTAAACATTTTCACTTCTGGTTTCTCCTGTTACCCTAAAGCTGTGATGTGCTTAAAGCCACACTCCAGGTAGAATGATCATTTACACAGCGCACCGGGGGTGTCGGGTATTAAAAATCCGCGTGTTGTGTGCAAAAGAAAATCTTACCCTGCAGCATGCCGCGCCCTGCACTTAAAGGAGAACTATGGGGTCAGGGCTTTTCCCCATAGTTCTCCTTAGGGTAACGGGAGGACACAAACTAGCGTCCTCCCGTTACCCTAAGCTCAGTATACCGCGAGCTACAGCTCGCGGTATACTGAGACGCCGCAGCCGGAGCGGATCCCAACGTCGAGATCCGCCCAGCTGCGTGAGTGACAGCTTGCTCTGCCTATCTAGAGGCAGAGCCAGCTGTACCCTCCCCCGTCCGTTCCGCCAGTCAGCGCTGGCGGATCGGAGCGGGGGGAATCCAGCCCTTTCCCTGTCACGGCAGAGAGCCGTGACAGGATCGAGAGGTGAGCGAACGCCGCTATGTGTTCGCTCACCTGCCCAACCTACTGAGCCGACCTGTGACAGTCTCACAGGTCGGCTAGAACTATGAGGTGAGTGAGAAGCACTCATCTCATAGTTCTCCTTTAATTTATTTATTACAGGTATTTGTATAGCGTCGACAATTTACGCAGCACTTTACATAGTTGCCAATTCACGTCAGTCCCTACCCTCAAGGAGCTTACAATCTAAGGTCCCTATCTCACATACATAGAGGGCCAACTTAGAGAGGAGCCAATTAACCTACCAGCATGTCTTTAGAGTGTGGGAGGAAACCGGAGTACCCGGAAGAAACCCATGCAAGCACATGGAGATCAGGCAAACTCCTTGCAGATAGTGACCTGGCCGGGATTCGAACCAGGGACCCCCCATAATGCCGAGCTACCGGACATTGAAGCGAGGGAGAGATGTGACCCGAGCTATACAGTGCTCCGGTCGCATCACCCACCCCTTTTCACTATCCTCCAATCACAAAACATCTTGGTTGTTTTTTAAAAGAATACAATACATTCTGTGATTGGAGGAGGAGCGGAAGGGGAAGGGATGTCACATTATCTCTCCTATAGCCCTAAAGTGCTCTGGGAATCCTTTGCCATGCAAAAATATATAGAAAATGTAAATATTAAACTAAACATTTGATAGTTTCCATTAAAACCCTTCCAAAGAGAGCTATGTGAAGAGTTGGCTAAATGCTGTTTAATGTAGCGGTACTACTATCGGTATCAATGCCGATACCGAGTATTTGGACCAGTACTTGCCCAAATGCTCCGATACTTACCTCCGATACCGGAACTTTCTTCTGACCAGCAGTGCCATAGGGGAACATGGAGCCTATTCTGACTCCGATTGTTGTAATAGCGATTTATCCCTTTCTGAGACCTGATGCCTGGCCTGTATAAGCAGATATAATCCTTATCAGAGAGCTGAACTCACCAAATACCTTTTCCATCCACAAAGGTGCTTTAATCTGTACATCAGGTTACAGCAGACAGGTCAGACACAACATTAAAATCTCATCTGACTTCACCCTAATTCCTAATCTGCCTCACAGGTCCATAATAATCGATCTATAGAGCCTAAAAATGTATATTTATCTATTTACAGGAACCCGTTGACTGGCTTGGGGATTATAATGAACCGCTATCTGGTTTCTCCTGGAGAGGCGGTTCTGAGCGGGAGACCACCGGAATCCAGATATGGAGCGAAGTCTTCTTGGTGGAGAAGCCTGATGGGAAAACGGTAATGGCTGGGTGTCACAGTTGACCCTTGATCATATTTAGAAGTCTTCAGAGAGAGATGCTGACTGATATCTGTCTTCCAGGTGGCCGTGTTACTGATGGACACTCAAGGAACGTTCGACAGTCAGTCAACCCTGAGGGACTCAGCCACTGTGTTCGCCCTCAGCACCATGATCAGCTCCATTCAGGTGTGACCTTCTTATACTTCCAGAAAACCTGATACAGTGGTGACAACCATTTGGTCAACTAAAACAGTGTTGACATAGACCATATCTCTCGGTGATCTTATAAGAGTCAGCAGACATTTTTAAAGTGTCGAACACCATGGTCTGGATGCCCCAAGTTCTCTTCCCCTTGACCTCTCCCGCCCCTTTTTTGCTGTGGAACTTACTCCCCTTTGCCTTTTGTTTATATATATTTTGTACTTACTCTTCATTTCTGTCTTTTCGGTCTTTTGTTGTTCCTTTCTTTGCTTCTTTTGTTCTCTCACTGTTGGGTAATTTACCAGTGTTGGGCTTTGTATATGCCTTTATGATTGGGCTCCGCTCCTTTGTTCTCCATGCCTGATAATGATTCCTGCATACGGAGACCCTTTTGGCATCCCCTTTAATGTGGAGAACATCCTGTTTCCAATTGATTGCACTTACATACAGTATATATTCTTGAAGCCCCAAGTGTTACGTTTTGCATTTTGACTTTTTTACTCTCAAATAAAATGATTGCATTGGACAGTGTAGGGAATAGTTTGAACTATGTTCTGCTGCCCATGTATCCACTGGGGAGATTCACCCTCTCTGTTTGTCCTGGTGACCATTGTAATTGGTAATGTACGTAACATAAGGGGAATAATTATGTGGCAGTTATGGCAAGAACCATTCATACATGGGCTTATGCCAGCTTGCTGCCAAACTGCCATGTGTATGGCCAGCTGAAGGATCTTGTATGGCATAGTTGTTGGCAGGCCTAAAGGAAATTGTACAAGGCAATTGCAAAGTGTATGGCCAGCTTTTGAGAAAGGAGGGGTGTCGAAGAAGTTCTCACTAATATGGATTACCCATGGTCAAAAGAGCAGGCAAGAGACGGGGCAGTGGCATGAAGTCTGTAGAATGGTAGTTTGATACTTAGTGCCAGTGTAGTTTACTGTAGTGCCAGTCTAGTGTAGTGTACTGTATTGCCACTGTAGTGCCAGTGTAGTGTACTGTAGTGCCAGTGTAGTGTACTGTATTGCCACTGTAGTGCCAGTGTAGTGTACTGTATTGCCACTGTAGTGCCAGTGTAGTGTACTGTATTGCCACTGTAGTGCCAGTGTAGTGTACTGTATTGCCACTGTAGTGCCAGTGTAGTGCACTGTAGTGCCAGTGTAGTGTACTGTATTCCCACTGTAGTGCCAGTGTAGTGTACTGTATTGCCACTGTAGTGCCAGTGTAGTGTACTGTATTGCCACTGTAGGGGCAGTGTAGTGCCAGTGTATTGCCACTGTAGTGCCAGTGTAGTGTACTGTATTGCCAGTGTAGTGTACTGTAGTGCCAGTGTAGTGTAGCGTACTATAGTGCCAGTGTAATGTACTGTAGTGCCAGTGTAGTGTAGTGTACTATAGTGCCAGTGTAATGTACTGTAGTGCCAGTGTAGTGTAGCGTACTATAGTGCCAGTGTAATGTACTAAGGGTGCCAGTGTAGTGTAGCCTACTATAGTGCAAGTGTAGTGCCAGTGTAATGTACTGTAGTGCCAGTGTAGTGTACTGTACTGTATTGCCACTGTAGTGCCAGTGTAATGTACTGTAGAGCCAGTGTAGTGTACTGTAGTGCCAGTGTAGTGTAGCGTACTATAGTGCCAGTGTAGTGCCAGTGTAATGTACTGTAGTGCCAGTGTAGTGTACTGTACTGTATTGCCACTGTAGTGCCAGTGTAGTGTACTGTAGTGCCAGTGTAATGTACTGTAGTGCCAGTGTAGTGTACTGTACTATACTGTATTGCCACTGTAGTGCCAGTGTAGTGTACTGTAGTGTACTGTAGTGCCAGTAGTGTACTGTAGTGCCAGTGTAGTGTACTGTAGTGCCAGTGTAGTGTAGTGTACTATAGTGCCACTGAAGTGCCAGTAGAGTGTGATGAAGAAGCAGAAAGCTGCTTCTTCGTCACACACAGAAATGAATGTAAGCTGACCTGTTATACTATTCCATGAACACAGACATTCAGTTCTTTATATGTTTTACTTTCAAGGTTTACAACTTGTCACAGAATGTTCAGGAAGACGATCTGCAGCATCTACAGGTAAAGATAATACAACAATGGTAATGGGGCTAATTTACAAAGAGACGAACCTGAAACTTTGTGCATTTATTGTCCAAAACTGAGCACAAGGTGTACATAAGAAAGACGCACTTCAAATAAAGTATTTGCTGGAATGTGGGAAATCCGGCCCTGACTGTGGCAATGCATGTTAAAGCACATGAATGGGTCTTGAATATTTAGCTAACAGATTTCAGGGTAAGCGTTTCCTTACCTAAAAAAATATGATCTGAATTCAATGTTTTGCTCCCTGGGAAGAGCAGGTAATTAGTCTGCCTGTAAACTGAGCACATGTCAATGAGTTACAATGTAGCAGTCATGGATGGAATGCAACTAAAGATTGAGATAAGAAATCCAGGCTCTTTGTCACCCCCATCTCTGCAGCATGGCTGTGCAATGCTTCTTACTCCACTTGTGTGACTCACTTGTGTCTGACACTGCGGAATCTATGCAGAACACACAATGTCTAGCTTAGCAACACGCAGACTATATCCATAGAAAGAGCGAGTATTCATAACAACCAATTATACTCAAGCTGCCGGCTTCCTTCTGCAGGTTGCCATGTAAATGTTAACATCTGATTGATTACTATTTGGAACACTCATCTCCCATTCTGCATAGATACTTCTTTCAGAACCCTTTCCATGGTTTCCCTTTAAAGAATCAGTCTGCCCAAAACGGATATTTTAGTGTTTAGGAGATGCCGGTCATTTAAATAACCCGGTAGGATCTTATCATGTATATCTCAGGACCTATACTGGTGAGTTTCTGGATCTGCACAGCGGCTGTGCCCATTCTGAGCATTTCCCACCGCCCTTGCTGCTTTTTAAATCTATTTTATATCATGTTGAATGGAACAGGAGGACTTGGAACGCTCCAAGGTGGGTGGTAACACTCAAAGATCCAGGAGCAGAGCCGGGAACTATGGCAGGGAGATCTCATTGTTTGGCTCTATTTATAAAAAGGTTCCATAGCTTAATCATCCAGGAATAATGCATGTGCATTTGTGTTGTGCAAGTTAACCAGCGGTTGTGAGAAAGGGGCAAAAATGAATGTTTTTAGTGTAATTTCTAGGAATGCACCGATACCGATAATAGTAACGGTGCCGATACCGAGTATTTAGGTGAGTACTGGTACTCGCCCAAATGCTCTGATACCTTCCCCGATACTGGAACTTCCGGTCAGAGGAAGATTTCCTCTGACCGGCAGTGCCGTAGGGGAACATGGAGCCGGCTTCCCGGGCAATCGGGAAGCCAGGAGGCGAGTCATTACTCGCTGCCCAGCTTCCTGATTGGCTGGGAAGCCGGCTCCATGCTGAATGACTGTCAAGTTGGTTTCTCGGCCAACCACAATCGAGCCAGCCAAACAACATGGAGCTGGCTTCCCGGGCAATTAGGAAGCTGGGCGGCATGTCATTACTCAGCGCCCAGCTTCCCGATTGCCCGGAAAGCCGGCTCCATGCCAGCGGAAGCACCAGTACCGGTACTCGGTATCAGCGAGTACCGAAAGTAAAATATCGGTACTCGATACCGGAAAACCGTTATCAGTGCAACCCTTGTGATTTCTCTTCTGGTCAAGTGTTTTCTTCAATAGGTATATTCATAAAGAACAGAGTGATCGGGGAAAATACTGCATTATGGCAATTAGATGGAGCTGAGGATCATAGGAAATAAATACGTTAGGAAGGAGATACAATGTTACAATTCAATAGACCACTGGAGGGAATTGGCACATAAATATAACCACAAGTACTACGGGGACAGCAATGGTTACATTTATATGATCATTCCTCCAGCTGCCTTGTGAATTGTAACATTGTATCTCCTTCCTAACGTATTTATTTCCTATGATCCTCAGCTCCATCTAATTGCCATAATGCCGTATTTTATCCATTCACTCTGTTCATCATGAATGTACCTATTGAAGAACATTCGACCAGAAGAAAAATCACCCTACGAAAGCTGGCCCCATTCTCACATCAGTTGATTAATTCACAGAGAAGGGACGTAAATGCAGTGTTGCTGGACGAATTTAAACAGGATGTCAGACGTATTTGAAATGGTAGCACAAAGTTTTGGTACATAGCAGTGACCATCCAGATCTTATTCATTCTATTTTTTTCCAGCCTACTGAAATCTGGTTGGACGTTGCATGCAGTGATTGCACTTTGCATCACCTTGTTAGCTCGTGAGCAGGATATTGTTTTGATATCTTGTGTATTCCTGGATGTACTGGGGTACATGGGTACTTGTGAATCAGCACTCTAGTGGGGCTTACAGCAGAGCCCTGATAATCCTAACACTATCCATGCATGTGTCTATGAAATGTCATATGGACTCCATACAGAACTCACAGTGATCACCTTTGTCCTTGTCTGCATCTAGCTGTTCACGGAGTACGGAAGACTGGCTATGGAGGAGACGTTCCTGAAACCGTTCCAGGTCAGTGTGTCATCTACTATATATAGATCTCATCCTTCCACTGGGTCAGGTGTGACAGATATTGACAAACCAAGAAAATGCCTTTAATAATGTAGTACAAAGTGCGGCATTCTATTACCTTATGTGCTGAGCCAAGTGAAACCTATACAAAACCAATCAATGCAAATATTTGATTTATCTTTGGTGAAGCATAAAGTGAGGAAAGTGAGAAGGGGCAATTTCATGATACCTTAGAGCTGACTCCGGCCTTCCCTTCAGTCTTATATCTGACCTCCGTCCTTCACTTCAGTCTTATATATGACTCCGTCCTTCCCTTCAGTCTTATATCTGACCTCCGTCCTTCACTTCAGTCTTATATCTGACCTCTGGCCTTCCCTTCAGTCTTATATCTGACCTCCGTCCTTCACTTCAGTCTTATATCTGACCTCTGGCCTTCCCTTCAGTCTTATATCTGACCTCCGGCCTTCACTTCAGTCTTATATCTGACCTCTGGCCTTCCCTTCAGTCTTATATCTGACCTCCGGCCTTCCCTTCAGTCTTATATCTGACCTCCGTCCTCCCCTTCAGTCTTCTATCTGACCTCCGTCCTCCCCTTCAGTCTTCTATCTGACCTCCGTCCTTCCCTTCAGTCTTCTATCTGACCTCCGTCCTCCCCTTCAGTCTTCTATCTGACCTCCGTCCTCCCCTTCAGTCTTATATCTGACCTCAGTCCTCCCCTTCAGTCTTATATCTGACCTCCGTCCTCCCCTTCAGTCTTATATCTGAGCTCCGTCCTCCCCTTCAGTCTTATATCTGACCTCCGTCCTTCCCTTCAGTCTTATATCTGACTCCGTCCTTTCCTTCAGTCTTATATCTGACCTCCGTCCGTCCCTTCAGTCTTATATCTGACCTCCGTCCTTCACTTCAGTCTTGTATCTGACCTCCGTCTGTCCCTTCAGTCTTGTATCTGACCTCCGTCTGTCCCTTCAGTCTTGTATCTGACCTCCGTCCTTCCCTTCAGTCTTATATCTGACCTCTGTCCTTCCCTTCAGTCTTATATCTGACCTCCGCCCTTCCCTTCAGTCTTGCACAGTTGTCCCGGCTCCTCTCCTGGACTGAAATGGCTTCTTCTGATATCACTGCACACTGTGAGCTTCTTAAAATGTGTATTAGAAGCTGCAGCAAGTCAGAGAGAGCCTGCAAAATACAAGCAAACTTCAGCTTTAAAATAGATCCATGCAAAACTGGATAACATTTGGATAACAATTGCTTCTTTTTCTCATAAAATATGACTACTATTATTAGTACTATTACATTTTTACCCTTTTCTTTAAGAAGTATACTAATCCTGTATAATACAATAATAATAATAAGGGCAAAGAGGACTTTCAAGTGTACATTGTTATTACAGAGTTTATTATCACCACTAGGTGGCACTGCTCCACCTGTATACATCTATTGATAACAAAGGACCGAGCATTTTAATTGTGTGTACAAGTCTGTCTGCACTCCATGTGGGTTCTAACTAAGAGCAATCCATCGTGATTTTCTATTCAGTTTTTTTTTTTTGAAACATAATATATTTTATTTGTTAGTGTTGATTCTTTTCTTTCTCTCTTCCTTCCAATTCATTTTCTTAAACATAATAGTTTTTGGTTTTTAAAGCGATGATTCTTTTCTTATTTTCTTTCTTTCCTTCCTCACCCTGTTCCTTTCTTTGTCTCTCTCTCTCTCCCCTTCCCCTTCTTTCTTTCCTTTCTCAGTCTGTTCCTTTCTCTTTCTTTCTCTGTTCTTTTATCTTTCTTTCTTTCTTTCTTTCTTTCTTTCTTTCTTTCTTTCTTTCTTTCTCAGTCTGTTCTTTTATCTTTCTTTCTTTCTTTCTTTCTTTCTCAGTCTGTTCTTTTTTCTTTCTTTCTTTCTCTTTCTTTCTCAGTCTATTCTTTTCTCTTTCTTTCTCTTTCTTTCTTTCTTTCTCTTTCTTTCTTTCTTTCTTTCTTTCTTTCTTTCTTTCTTTCTTTCTTTCTTTCTCTCTCTTTTTCTCAGTCTGTTCTTTTCTTTCTTTCTTTCTTTCTTTCTTTCTTTCTTTCTTTCTTTCTTTCTCAGTCTGTTATTTTTTCTTTCTTTCTTTATCTCTCTCTCTCTCTTTCTTTGTTTTATTTTCTTTCGTTTCCTTTCTTTCTTTTTCTCTTTCTTTGTTTTTTTTTCTTTCGTTTTTATTTCTTTCTTTCTTTCTTTTCTTGTCCCCACCCCCCTTCCTGTAATAAAGACCGGTCACTGCTGCTCTCTCTCCTTGTGCAGAGTGACTGGTCTTCTCTCTGCCCCCTCCTGTATAGTGACTGTGACATACTGGGCCCCTCCCACAGCTTTGCTTGGCGCAGGCTATGTACAGCACAGTAAACATGTCACTGCCACATTTAAAAGCTAATATCTGGGTTTTGCAAAGACATTCACGGCACACAAAGCAGCTTTATAGCCTCTGTGACTATGAAGGATTTTTTTTAATGAATGTTTTTGTGTCTGGAGTTCTGCTTTAAGTTATAACTGTCTAAGAGGAGATTTCCTCTCAATCTGGAGAGATTTCCACTCTTCTTGTTGTGTCTCCTCGACAGGAAAGAGAAGATAAATCACCCCAATAAGAGAACTGCAAAAATATCAGACACGAGCTTGCTTCAGATGCCACTTATGTGTCCCGATGAGGACAATTGAGCGCTAATGATTTCAGGCGTGGGACATGTGCCGAAAAATCACCCATGTGCCCCTGGTATATATAGAGAGTCCATGGTCCCATCGCACTCCTGACCGCCAAATCCCTTCAAGAAGCGGGTGCTGCGGTAGTCAACGGGTGGCATCTGTTATGATCACAGGTAGAGACAGAGACACCGGCACTCCAAAATGATAAGCAAACGTCTATTTATTGACGTGCAGTATAGCAGATAGCAACGAACGTTTCGGGGTCACAGAGGATCCCCTTCCTCAGGCAGAAACATACTTCCTCAGGCAAAAGCATGGTATGCTTCTGCCTGAGGAAGGGGATCCTCTGTGACCCCGAAACGTTCGTTGCTATCTGCTATACTGCACGTCAATAAATAGACGTTTGCTTATCATTTTGGAGTGCCGGTGCCTCTGTCTCTACCTGGTATATATAGGACACAATGAGGGGAATTTATCAAAACTGGAGCAGACAAAATCTGAAGCACCTGTGCACGGCAACCAATCAGCTTCTCTCTTTCATTTTCAAATCTTATGTGGACAAAATGAAGAGAGAAGTTGATTGGTTGCCATAGGCAACAGCTCCAGATTTTGTCTGCTCCAGTTTTGATAAATTCCCCTCAATGTATACTCGTGCCGAGTAAAGCTGAATTTCCCAGAATTCTTTGCTGCTTGGCTCAGGGTTGGCTGTGTGTGTGACGCGGGTCCCTTCCAGGGCCAGCATTCTGTCACTGACTCTGATGTAGAGACGTTCCAGCTGCAGCCAACAAACAAACACAGCTGGACTACAACGTCCTCCCCCGGAGGGAGCCGAGTCTGTGCAATGTGGGTGTCGCTCGGAATATTAATCCGGCTTTCTGGAGACTTTCTAACCAGATTTCAGCTGCATAGTTTTCAGGGTGCGTCACATTGAGATCAGCTCACTGCCCTTCCCTGTCAGCAGCACTGAAACTCTCAGCAGGGTGGAGATACAACGTATATATTTAGACTTCAGATCTATCTTTGTGACCGTGCCCCACCTCCTCCCATTAATGGTGAGATCTAAATTAAAGGTGAACTCCTCGCCCCCTAAATACTTTCATTTAAATATATTCCACAAAGGATAGAAATCTACTTTTGGTGCACCAAGTGCCTTTCCATACCCAGTTATTACCATACAAGAGTACAAGTGACATCATTACTGTGCTGTACAGAGCCTGTGCAGAGAGCAGAGCTGTGGGAGGGACTAAGCAGGCCCCACCCACTACATGCTGTCTGCAGAAAACTACAGGAGGGGCGGAGACAGGACCAGTCTCCCTGCACAAGGAAAGAGAGCAGCAGTGACCGGTCTTTATTTGTTCAATGTTATTTTTTTTGATCTGGACTCATTATGGATAAAAATTCTGATGGTTTGATACAACTTTATTGTACAAGTGACGCTGTGCACACGATCGCCATCTGCATAGACGGAGCCTCGTAGCTCAGTGCGCGCTTCTCGCGGTCACGTATCTCAGCCTTTCCCCTGGCGGGTCGGAGCCCCAGCTGGCCGGCCGGAAGGAAATGTCACAAACATGTCTTCTCTATAAGGAACGGTGGCGTTGGGAAGTCTCTCGGGGGCGGCCGCTGTCTTGTCACACATGTTTCCAATCACAAGTTATTCTGGAGTCCTTCCCAGGAATCTTCCCCCGGGTGGGCGGGGACCGGGACGTTGTCCACACGCAGATATCGATGCAGCCGTCTTTACTGATAAGTCACAATGATCTGCGGCCAGACATTGCTCCGCAACCTGTGACATGCGATATTAAAGCGCAACTCCGGACAGATAGAATGCCGCTCTGTGTTCATTCATACATTATTAAATGTCATGTTTAAATACAAGCAGTGTAAGTACCTGAATTTGACTTGGTATTAGTTCTTGCAGTCCCTAGCTCAGACTGGTAGAGAGGGACAACACAAGGAGCCAATCAGTGCTAATAAGAGGCATGCTGATTGGAGGAGAGAGCAGAGTGACAGAGAGATGAGCTCATCAGTCTGCTGTTCCTCCAATCCTCCAAGTGCCCGACTTTTTAGAGGGGGTGACACCAAAATGACTGTCAAGTTAAAACAAAACAAAAAAAATGCGTGGGGTTCACCCCAAAATCCATTCCAGGCCCTTTAGGTAATTTGCGGCCCTACACAGGCGGCTGTATACCCATTTATGGCCCTACATGCGTAAACCCGCGTATGCGTAGACAGTCTGCCTCTGGGGGGTCAGGACCCATTGGCTTGTATTAGCTCTTGAATTGGAGTGATAACAAAAACCATAGCTGATGTCATGCCAGCAATGTATAAAACCAGCAACGGTTTTATACATTGTACAAAAACTGCCTAAAAGGAATAAGTGAACACTGGATTATTCACACAGAGTGAATGTACATGCTGTTTCACTCTATGAATAGCTATGGGATTTTTTTCTAAGTAAACCCCATTAAAGCTATTGAGGTCAGAGACAGACAGGCAACTAGGATGTCCGGGGGTGGGGCTTAGCAATGGCAGCCCCCTTATATCTCTCAGTATAAGTTTCCATTCATAATGTTCTTTTTTTTCTCCTTTTCTAGTCTTTGATCTTCCTCGTCCGGGATTGGAGCTTCCCATATGAATTCCCTTACGGCGCCGATGGTGGAGTCAAGTTCCTCGAGAAACGCCTCAAGGTTTGTTTTAGGGCTGAAACAACTAACCGATAACCAATAATGAAAACTGTTGTCAATTATTTTAATTATCGATTAGTTGAGCTGCATTCCCCCAGAGCCGGTGTTTCATCAGCTCTGTGTTCTCTCCGATCCCAGGTCTATACTCTCCGCTGGATGCGGCGGTCTGCGTCCCCTCCAATCCCCGCTGCTCTTCCCGGCATGTATCGGCAGAACGGCGGGGGGCGGGGGGGGGGCGGGACCCCGGAGGCCGGCCCCC